GGTGGCGGCGCCTGGATCATCGGCATCGTGGAAAAGGGCGACCGGCGGGCGCGAATCATCGAGAAGCCGCGCATCATCGAAGTACCACCGCGGGGGAGCCAGAACAGCCAGGAGAACAGCTGCACCAGCCCCGAGCCCCACGCCGTTCTGTCATAGGCCCCGCCCCCTCACACTAAGCCCCGCCCCCAACGCCGTGGCCACGCCCACAACTCGCCTCCTCAGCCAGGAGCTCCAGACGGACTCAAACCAGCAGCCTGGGATCCACCACAGAAGAAGAAGAGGCTATAAACTGTGGTTTGTGGCTCCTTCTCCCCCCTTTTTTCCCGTTTGTTTCCAGTATCCCCTTCCTGTCCTGATCGGTGTAAACAGAATTTTTTTTTTTATTAATGGCGGCTAAAGATGCTTCCAGGGAAATCCGAGATATGTTCGAATAACAAAAGACGAAGTTCCAGATCATTAAGCAAAGCGGAGAGAGTGAATCGGAGAATCTGAGCGGTTAAAATAAAAATAATTAGTTCCCGTTTGTTCCCAGTATCCCGTCGTGTTTCCATCCCTTCCTGTCCTGATAAACACACAAAAAAAAGCCTTCTTTAATTTATCTGGCGGCTAAAGATGCTTCCAGGGAAAGCCGAGATATGTTCGAATCACAAAAGACGACGTTCCAGATCATTAAGCAAAGCGGAGAGAGTGAATCGGAGAATCTGAACAGTTAAAATAAAATAATTAGTTCAGATGAGTTAGTAGGTTTGATCTTTGTTTAGAATAGTATCGTTCCACTATCATGTCAGTAAATCTGTGAGCTGAATGCCACATAAAACTACCATAAATGAGCTCATGGTGAGAAAATCGTGCTTAAAAAAGGGCCACTTATTCCTGTTTTTTCAGGCAAATTAATGAAAACTTCAGCAGAACTGTTTTAAATCAGAGTTTGGGACGGTGAGTTTTTACTAATTCCCACAGGTGGAAATCCGAGGAATGTTCGAATCACAAAAGACGACGTTCCAAATCATTAAGCAAAGCGGAGAGAGTGAATCGGAGAATCTGAGCGGTTGAGTTTAGTTTAGTTTAGTTTTTTTTGTTTTAAATGATTGAGTCGATTTGTTTCTGTGATTTTTGCGAGTGGAT